TTCACTAGCATCCCCATTTTGAAAGTTGCCTCTGGTATAAAGCTGGGAATTTGATACCCAGAAAAGCTCTCCAGAAGAACTACATTGACACTGCATTTAGTAAAAAAAACCCCATAGTGTGATGTTTCTATATTTACATATCTCTGTTTATGGTTTTTTTCTGCCTTTAATCTATGGAAAGGAGAAAACCAACAAACTAAATACTAAATGGCAGCATTTCAGCATCTGACAACTGTGACTTAAAGTGATCCTACCAGTTAGACCAAACTGAAAATTAGTAATTTTTTCCCTAACGTAGTAACAAAAAAAACCCCAGAAACCCAACATAGAACAAATGTAACTACATCTGTTCTTTTTAATCTCAAAATGTTACCCCCAATGTACAGTTAGAGGACTCAAATGAAAACAAGATTTATTTGGATTGTAAGTACTTTCCAAAAGTAAACACTATAAAATGTTGATAACATTGTACATGTTAGGTGAATACATGCAAAAATTACATCTTTTTTTTTGTGTGAAACATCTTACAGTCCTAATTCCAATCAGCATCTGTTGTCACAACAGTACTTTACACATGTAATAAGTTTTAAGCAAGCACCTAAACCTTAACACATTTTAGTTTAGAAGTCCTTGTCAATCATGGCACGTAGAGGCAGGCAACATAATGGTGAGAGTAATCTGTCTCTGCAAAATTGTTGGTATTTAAGGTACAAAAACAAAAATTCCTTTCTGAATTAGCATGTTGTGATTTTTTTCATAGCAACCTTTATACTAAATATCTTAACCACAAGTGTTAGCATAAAATTTCTTCTAGTGATGATTTAGCTGAATTGCACAAACATGTATATCACAGACTCTCAATCCTAAAAGACATGATACTTTAGTACATGTCTGGAACAAGAATACCTTCAACTCAATCAGTTTAAATTAGTAACAGACATAAAATATACCATGAATCAAGATGTCATGAAGCTAAAAAGTTAGCCTGTATCTAAAAGAAAGTTGTTGATCTTAGGTCAGTTGGAGGCAATAGTTCTACCAGCACTGGAAATGCCTTATCCATCAAGATTCATGTAGCACAGCAGAGCATTCCCTGCAATCACTCTCTGCTGAAACAGCCATTTCAAATCTCCAGCCATGCAATTCTGTCCTCTTCTGAAGATCAGTATTCCAACACTGGAATGTGGGAAACACTGTGGGAGAAATGAAAGACCATGTCATCACAGAATCATACAACGGCTGGAGTTGGAAGGGACCATTGGTAGGGACACCTTCCACCACACCAGTTTGCTCAGGGCCCCACCCAGCCTGGTTTTGAACATTTTCAGGATGTTTTCAGGGATGGGGCATCCACAACTTCTCTGGACAACCTGTTTCAGTGCCTCACCACCCTCACAGTAAAGACTTTCTTCCTAACATCTGATCTAACTGTATCACTCAGCTTCATGTCATCTGCAAACTTGCTGAGGCTGCACTCAATCTCACTCTGTGTGATGAAGACACTGAAGAACACCAGTCCCAAGACAGAGACCTGAGGGACAGCACTCATCACCAGCCTCCAGCTGAACACAGAACCATTCACCACAACTCTTTGTGTCCATCCAGCTAATTATCCACTGAATATTCCATCCATCAAGTACATGTCTCACCAATTTGGAGATAAGGACATCATGTGGGACTGTGTCAAAGATCTTACAGAAGTTGGTGTTTCCTTGCTGGTCATTGAAATCACACCATCATAGAAGGCCATCAGATTGGTCAGGCATGAGTTGCCCTTAGTAAAGTTGTGCTGGATGTCTCAGATATCTTCGTTGTCTTGCATGTCCCTTAATATTGTATGTGCCTTCCATAAGGATTTGGTCCATGATCTTCCCAGGCACAGAGATGAGGCTCACCAGTCTGTTGTTCCCTGTATCTTCCTTTTTTCCCTTTTTAAAAATAGGACTGAAGTCACTGGGGACTTCACCTGACTGCTATGACTTTTCAAACATTCTGGAAAGTGGCTTGGCAGCAACATCAGCGAGTCCTCATAGGACTGACTGGGGACTTCACCTGACTGCTATGACTTTTCAAACATTCTGGAAAGTGGCTTGGCAGCAACATCAGCGAGTCCTCTCAGGACCCTAGGATACATCTCATCAGACCCCATAGACTTGTGCCTACTCAGCCTAGTCTAAATGGTCTCAAACTTGCTATTCACTGGCAGTGGGAGGCACTTTGCTTCCCCAACCCCCACTTGAAGGTTCAGAGGCTTGAGAGAAGTGGGAAGCCTGACATTCTGGAAAGTGGCTTGGCAGCAACATCAGCGAGTCCTCTCAGGACCCTAGGATACATCTCATCAGACCCCATAGACTTGTGCCTACTCAGCCTAGTCTAAATGGTCTCAAACTTGCTATTCACTGGCAGTGGGAGGCACTTTGCTTCCCCAACCCCCACTTGAAGGTTCAGAGGCTTGAGAGAAGTGGGAAGCCTGACATCCAGTGAAGACGTAGGCAAAGAATTTGTTGAGTACCTCAGCCTTCTCTATACCCACTGTCACCCGTTCTCCCTTATCATTTATCAGAGGTGGGGGTACACTCTCCTTGGCCTTTCTTTTTTGGCCTATGTATTTATAGAATCTCCTCTTGTTACTCTTCACATCCCTTGTGAAGTCCTCTTCCATCTGTGTCTTAACTTTCCTAACTCCAACCTTCCACATCTGAACTGTACCCCTGTACTCTCACCTGTCCCTGCTGTGCATTTCCTTCTTCCTTCTGTTTGAGAAGCAAATCTTTGCTTAGCTAGTTAAGTTTCCAGCCTGCTTTGCTTAATTTTCTATACACTGGGAGACCTCTTGCACTCTTGATTTGGTACCTCACCACCCTCACAGTAAAGACTTTCTTTCTAACATCCTTAAACATTCCTTAAAGAGATGCCAGCTCTGGTCAGCTCCTCTGTTCCTAAGGACAGTTTCCAAGGGGATCTACCCACTTATTCTTTAAACAGGTGGAATTCAGGCTTTCAAAGTTCAGAGCCCTGTCTTTGCTCTTTGCCAGGCCCACATTTCATGAACTCTGTGAGGGTGCAGTCACTACAACTCACCCTTCTCCAGCCTTAACCCTTCTAGTGAGCTCACCTATACTGATGAGAACCAGATCCAGTAACACTTCTCCTCTGGTTGGTTTGTCCAGTATCTGGACCAGAAAGTTGTCCTAGATGCAGTCCAGGAGTCTCCTGGATTGCCTACAGCCTAGATATATTGGTTTTCCAGTAGACATCCATGTCACTCCATCAGGACAAGAACCTGCAAGCGCAATGATCCTGGAGCTGAAACAAGAGGCCTCATCAGCAGACTCCCCCTGAGCAGGCAGCCTGTAGCAGGCCCTAGCCACCCAATATCCTTCATTGATCCTGTCCTTGATTTTTGCCCACAGGCTTTCAAGGTGTTCATAGCTGTTTCTCAGAGGGAGGTCTTCAAAGTCTATCCATTCCTTAATATAGAACACAACACCTCTGCCTCTTCTTCCCAGCCTCTCTCTTCTGAAAAGCTTGTGGCCCTCAATTGCAGCGCTCCAGCTGTGTGACTTGTACTATGTTTCCATGATAGCAATTAGGTCATAGTTTTCTAATTGCACTATGGTTTCCAGCTCCTCTTGCTTGCTTCCCATGCTGCATGCAGGGTTGTAGAGAACATGTCCTCAAAACACTCTCCATCTGCTTCAGTGCCAAGAGGGTTGACTTTAATCAGGACAGCTCTCTTTGTAAATTAAGCCAGCCTTTGTTCCAAATTGGATGAGAAGTGATCACAGCATCCAAACCATTAGTTCAGATGGGGCAAAGCTGACAAGTGACAGCCACAGGGAGTCATAAACAGAAGATGATAATGTCCTTGGTCAGTACAGCCATTTCTTCAGTGAAGGTCTGGCCCATATGTCTGATGTGAACATGTGTCTAGCCAAGATGCAACTTGTCCTACCTTGGCTTGCACTGGCATAGTGAAAGCATCCCTCTTCCACATGCCCCAGCTCAAAACAAAGCAAACTCTATTGCTGCAGTTCTCTGTCACAACTTAAGTAAAGGCTATGTGTACTCTGGGGTACAGTCCAAGACATTTCAGGAAAGGCTGCCCAGAGCCATTTAGCACTGCCTAGCTGCAGGTCTTTTTGCTGATGCTACTGAGCTATAGTAAAGTCATGTGATTGGTCACAGCCCATTTCAGTACACATGGGGACTCATATTTAGGTGTCTGATAACACTGCATGAACTCAGACTAGGAATAGTCACTAATGGGTCTAATTTTTTGGATAGTAAAAGGTTTCAAAAAATGTTTCAAAAGGTTATTAACAGCTCACGTGAGACAACAAACCTCTGTCAAGATCCTTATACTGCTTTTTGCAGTACTTTTGGTAGAAATCTCTAACGTAGACTCTAAAGATCTGTGCTGCAATGTGGTACAATCTCACAAAGCAGACCCCTGGTGGAAAACTCTGGCAGAGAGACAAGGCATGTAGATAGAGTTGAGGCTTTTAAATCTTCATTATCTATACCTGCTGCAGTTCGTTATATACTCATTATAGTTCTGCAGAACAGTGTTTTGATTGGGGTTTTTTCCTCATGCGGTATGTGGCGGCATAAAGTCTTTAATGTTAAGAAATAAACTGGAATTGAGATCTTCCTGCCTTGAACTTTTTACTGTGCGCATGGGCCCTTAAGTCTCCCCCAGCACTAGGTGCTCCCACCTTGCTCCACCCTTCAACAGTGCATGTAAATCGGGGGCTGGCCAGGGAATTCCAGCTCGGAGGGCTGGTCCCCGCCCGCCAGCACCTCGGTGAGGGCTCAGCAAGCGGCACGGCTGGGGACTATGTCCTCGGGACGTTGGTGTAAACTGGACAGCAAGAGAACAGTTTCTTCACTCCCGCGGCCGCGGACAACTGCCGCATGCAACAGCCTGCAGTGAAGGGCTCTGAACCTCTACCTTCTGCTCAGGTTCTTCATCACGGGTATTTTCAGGCTGCAGGAAAATGTACTGGAGAAATCATGTTACGTAAGTCTGTCTGAGCTGCCGGGGACCTTCTCTATCCAGGGATGCTTCTCCGTTTTCCTTTCACACACCAACACCCACCTTCGTTTTAGTGTTTGTGGTTTATTAGCACAAATTTATTTCAGCTCATGTTTGTTTTTTTGGGGTTTGTTCTTTTTTGTTTTGTTTTGTAGAATTCTTTTCACTGTGACTCTGGTCTGGCAGGCTATTCATTTAGGAAAAGGTAAGGAAAGCCGCGTTTCGTGCAGCCCCGCAGTGTTTCTCTTGTACATTTACGGTGTATATTTCTTCATTACAAACTACTCTTTCCTTCCACACTTTCTGTCAAGGCCGTGAAAAAGAAGAACGTGAAGAATATGTGAAAAGTCTCAATGCCACAGCACAAAAGCAGCATCCCAAGAATCAAGGGACTTTCATAAGTGCTCTCAATGACATGAATCAGAGTTATGAAAGCAGAAAGCAGCACAGTTCCCGGTCATTGGTACCTTTCACTGGAATTACAGAGAGTAGGTAACATTTATGTAAACAATGCCATAAAATTGCTTTTAAAAATATTACATTACAGTAATGCTTTGAGTATTTTCCTGGAAGATTCCAGCCTGTTGGTTTTCTGTGGCCACTCGTTTAAATTATACCCGTGGCCACTTAGGAAATGGTGATAAAAATTTAAGGTAGAACAGGGGTTCTTTCACATGCAAAATCTGCTAATGGAAAAAAACAGGGAAGGATGCTAGTAATTAAGAAGGCTTTGGTGCCTTACATTTACAAATGCATCTGTGAAATTTTGTAAAATTCTGTTCATTTTTAAAAATTCACCATATTTCCTGACCCACCCCCTTCCCCCCCCCAAAAAAAAGAAAAAGGTTTGAAGTGCCTGAAAGCAACAGTACTAACGAAAAAAAGGGGGGGGGGGAAAGTATTCTGTTTCCTCCCACATATGTGAAGTTTGAGACTGATGCTCAGAAGTTTGAGTAAGGCTAGAGAGGGGGCATTCCATTCCCCTCTCAAAGCTAAGTAACTCTTCCCAGTAATGAAGCCTCCTTCATTCAAAAATAACCACCACTTCCCAGTAACATTGTCCTATTTTTTAGTGTGATTGAAACCTGCCTCTGTCAAAGTGAAATATTTCACTTGATTATGTGCTGCTGCTACATGACTTGCCAGGCCTTGCTTCTTGACCGTCCTGTAATCCCTGGTAGTTTGCTTCTAATCCTTAACTAAACAAACTGGGTTTAGCTGAACAAACACTACTAACAGGCATATAATTTTATTGTCTCTAAAGACAGTAAAACTAGATATCCTTAAGACACTTTGGCATCTGTAGAAGTCTAAGAGAACAAGTGAGAAAAGGTGAGATTTGGAGACCCTGGGATGCTGTTAACCTCTGTAACATTGTTTTACAGGTAAAAAACTGAACAGACACTGCTGCCAAAACGGAGGGACCTGTATCCTAGGGACTTTCTGTGCCTGCCTAAAGCATTTCACTGGCAGATACTGTGAACATGATGAGCGGCAAAGGTAAAAATAAACAAGACCAAAATCAGAGAGTGAGTGAGGTGCTCTGAGTGGTTCTTTTCCGTGATGGGATCAGGGATGTACTAAATGTTTCCCTTGTCCTTGACAGCAACTGCGGTAGCATTGCCCATGGTGCCTGGGTGCTGAAGGGCTGTTGGCTGTGTAGGTGCGGCTATGGTACTCTGAACTGCCTCTCAGAAATAAAGCACAATAACTGTGGTAAGGAATGGCATTAAATCAAACTTTTTTCCTGTGGGTAACAGAATTGCCTTCTGCAATAGCGGGATACTCAGCGGATGCTGTATGTGCACTATTTAGACTTATACAGTGAGCTGCTTTTCTTCAGAGAATGCATTAATAAGACAGTTAACAACACTGCTGTTGCCCATATAGTACATCATATAAAATACTTTCATATCTTTATAATTCTGTGCAATAAGAAACTTTCTACCATTCTGATTAAAAATTGCAGAGATTAAATGTTGCTCTGTTCTGCAAAATCTGCGCATGTCTATGACTTCCCACTTAACCAAGACAATTTGTATGACTAAACTGCATGTAAGCCTAAAAGATCTGTTTCTTAGAAGAGGAAAGAGGGAAAATAATAGTGCAGACTGATGTGGTAGAAGTTGAAACTGGTGTTATACTAGAGAAACAAGTACTGGCAACTTGCATGTTCTCACATAAAGTACTTAACACAGGATCATCAATCATAACACATAAATGACACAAAACTCATCTGAACATTATTTTAAGATCTATATCTTAATCTTCAGAATACTTTTGTACAGACTTCCAAGGCTGAGCACACTCCACACAAAAAAAAATTGTAGCTATAGTCCCAATCAGCATAAAATAGTGCCATCCAGTCTCATCAAAAGCACTATATCGCTTTAACCCACATCAGGCTGTGAAATCCCTGAATAAATGCTTGAATATTTTTGAAAACAGTATATCAGCTAGCATAAAAACTCCAAGGATTCTTTTACAGGTACTTATTTTCCACGGAGAACTGGCTACTTTGATCCAGACTGTTTTCAATACTCTCAAGATGACTAAGAAGTGTTTAATATTGTTTTCTCTCCGATGGCAAAATTAGAGCAAAATATTCTTGCCCTTTTCACCCAAAAAGTGCTAATCCCATCCGGTACTTTACTTCAGTTGTGCCAATGTCACTAGTTAACAACATAAGAAAACAACAGACCTGAAGATTTTCATTTGCACCCCAAGGAACTAGGACCCGCTTCTTTCCTGACCAGATTCCTATCTGAGTGCCTTAAAGCTGTAACTCCAGAGTTATAACCACTGGAGTTACACTACCAACTCAGAAGTAAATGCAAATTTCAAAATGCGAGAATAGAGACATTCCTATCTTTACAATCCCAGACAAAAAAAAAAAAAAAAAAAAAAAACCCAAAAAAAAAAAAAAAAAAAAAAAAAAATTAAAACCCACTGCTAAAATCACTTTCTCCTTGAAGTTTTCTGTATTGAGCAATTATATGTGGCATACAGCTTGCTCCTTAAACTCTTCAAAAGAGTAAAATGCTCAAGTTCCCTCGGGAGTTCCCTTTTGAATCAGCCCTATTGTTTCCCATTACAGAAGTAAAAGACATAATGGGCCTCCCCACTCTCAGTAAAAGCAGTCTACTGCTTACTACTCGAGCTCAACTTAAAGGCAATAAAGGTGTCAGTGGAGAATTCTCTGAGCAAGGACTTGGTGGTTTTCACGTACATAAGGGTACATAAGGGTATGACTTTCTGCTTGTGCTAGAAGTGAAGACCCTTGTTAAAGGAAGGGTTAAAAGCCGACATTCAGGCTTGAGTGCATACCTCTTGTGAAGCTCTTCCTCTTGCTTTTCCTTGGTATTTACTTTTGATTATTCTGAGATTAATGCCTGCAAGAGCTGATAAGTGCTATCGGTTGCTTCTCAAACGATCACTGATGGGACATCTATTTACATCTCTCCCCTGAGAATAGTCCCTTTGATTGGCTTTAACAGCTGATACCTTTAACTTAAGTACCTGTGAGATGTCAGAGGACTTTTCAAGTATGTTGAAAATCCTTGTGGTTTAAAATTTACATATTTACATATTTACTCATTAACCATTTTGTTTTCTTGGATTTTTTTTTTTTTTCTTTTTAGATCTGAAATCGGAAAAGGAGAAAATTACCAGACTGCATTCTAGTGGATTAAGATTACAACAAGCATTTTTTGCATTGGCTTGCCTGCTCACCATCCTCCTGGTGCTCTGCTGCTGGCAGTTGTGAAATTGGACAAAGGGAAATATTTTAGGATTGATGTAACCCTCATCATGAGTTATACTTTTTTTTCTTCTGTGAGCTACAGACAACTCTCCTACCTACATGTTGGAGGCAGATTAAGATGTATTAGTTAATGCTGAAATGCTTGTGTTATTATAAATTCAGATTATATGAATGTGAATTATTTATTATATTATTACTGCTATCAGTGTCTGATCCTAACGATTGTTTATTTCTAAAATACTGTTCTTCCAGTGGAAGCAATCACTACCCCAATGTTCTATGCCTTAAATATTGTAAATTATAGTAATGTCCTTCGTACACAGTACAACTATTTTAACAAATAATGCTGATTTCATTTCTGAAGAGTGGTGTGTTTGACTTGATTTAAACATTAAAATTCTTATCTACTGTTTGTCATTATATTGTATCCTGTAAGAAAAGGGCAGGGTAAAATAAGCAATCAGAGATTTGAAGATATAAGAAGGGTTTTAAGAGTAGGTATCTTTCAGACCCTAATATAGAGAAGAACTTAAAAGTTACATAGTCTTTCAGTTTTCATTATTATTTATTACTGATAAATTTTACATATTAGACAGGAATCATATATATCTTAAGAACACATAGCTGGTGGTTATTTGTCTTTGGGGCATTTATTTCACATCCTAGAAATATGAGCTACTCTGTTATTTTTTAAAAGGACAGAAAAGAGCAACTCCCTTTGACTTTTTCTATAGCAAAGCTGTCTTGATTTATGTATCATTTGAGTCTTTCTAGGCTATAAAATACAAAAATGCTTGAACATGTAAGTGCATTTTAATGCAACTTTATAAAACACCAGAAGCAGGTTTGTTTTGGAAAAAAAATTGCAAAGAGAAGCCTAAAGTATGCCTTTAACCTTTGAAAGTGGAGCTACCACATAGAAACAATCATATTCATAATTTTGTTGACTAAAAATCCATTATTAATGAAGAAAATTTTCAATGCCTTTTAAAAGTTAAATATATTTAATTACTGAATTTTTGTAATTACATTTATTTGGTGACATAAATCAAGACAACAACCCAGTTACTAAGCAGAGAAGGATGGATCACCAACAAATGACATAAAATTGTGGCTGCCTTTAAATCTATGGCTACTCAGAAACAGACTTTTTCTGGGAGTCACTGTGTAAAAACATATTAATATTAAATGCTGCAAAGGATTCAGACTGTTCCTTTCCACACTCTAGACTTGATTTGAAAGAGAAGGCTTCTCACTCCTCACGTAAGACACACTAGACCTTTTCTCATTATTTCCCACAAACTTGTCTGCTCCAGTATGTCTGTGTTTCCACAGACCAGTTTAGGATAATTAAATATCAAAGAGAACAGCTGGAGGAAAGTAGTCATGCCTTTATTTATCAGATGTTGAAATTGCAG